GAAAATGTAGGTCTCTGAGGGGACAAAGTTGTGGAAAATCACTCTTTGTCACAAGCGCCAGAGCAGACAATCTGAGGAAAAGTGACTCTTTGGGAACCAGTGTCTAGGAACCACTCTTGGGGCACAGTTTCTGAGATGTAAAATCTGAGGAAAGGTGACATTTGGGAACCATTATCTGAAGAAAACACAGTCATTAGAGGAGTAAATCCTGAGAGGTACTTTTAGCACAATTATCTGAGACACTAAGTCTGAGCAAAAGTGGTACTTTGGGAACCAGTGTCTGAGGAAAACACGGGTGTTGGGGAGAAAATCCTGAAAAGTATTCTTCAGAACAAGTGTCTGATGGACAAAGTCTGAGGAAAAGTGACACTTTGGGAAACAGTGTCTGAGGAAAACACAGGCATCTGAGGAGAAGTAATCTATGGGCACATGTTTTCAAAGTACAAATTCTGAGGGAAGATGTCACTTTGGGAACCAATGTCTGAATAGAAGTCGGGCCTCTGAGAAGAAAAATATGGAAGTACTATTCAAGAACTAGTGACCAAGACACCAAATGAGGAAAAATGTTGGGCACGATTTGCTGAAGGGAGGAGTGCCATTCAAGGAGAAAAACCAGAGAAGAATTAACTTCGGGCACAAGTGTCTGAGACGCAAAATCTGAGGAAAATTAGTCTTCAGGATCCAGTGTCTGAGGAGATGACAGGCCTCTGTGGAAAAAACCTGAGAAGTATTCTTTGAGCACAATTTTCTGAGGCACAAAATCTTAGGATGAAATAGACCTACTGGGCCCTCCCTGGTGGCGCAGCGGGTTAAGCACTAAGAAGCCTAAGCCACTTCCGCATGAGTTCGATCTCCGCCTGCCCCGGAGGTGATCCAGGATGGCGTGGCAGACCTCTCCTGACCTGTCCGCTACTCCCCTCAGCAGTGTACTTCGTGGATCTGCTTGTTCTGCTCCCCACTCTGTCCCTGGTGAACCCTCTCACCATTCACATCTCTGACATGTACCCCAGCTCTGTATGAATAAATCTTAAAAAAGAAAAAGAAATAGACCTACTTTTTCATCTTTAGATTTTTTTCTACTTTGTTTATACCCAAAATAGAATTTATTACAAAAGCAAAGGTAAGTAAAGAACATGCACAGACCCTGGCGGACAGAAGGAGGTGCAAACGGAAACGTTTTGTATAAAGAGACACTTGCAGAGCACAGGTGGGTGGGAGAGTTGCCGCCATCTCCAGGGCATTTTTAAAAACTAGACGCACATCTTTACACTCAAGGTTATCTTTGGCTCATTGTAATGATAACAATAATCAGTGGCATTTTAGACCGTGCTTCAGGACTGGAAAGAGAATCACCAACAGTGATGTGCCAGTATCTGAACTTTATAACTACACAAATGACCCTAATAATCCAATCACAAAATAACACAAATTCTGAGATTTTTTTTGTCAACAACAACAAAAAAAAAAAAAACGCGTAAGAAAACAATCACATTAAGACCGACATCTTGAGGACACTGGTCACCGCTGCCGGTGTGATGGTTCCCATCATACAGATGAGCCAAACCTAAACGTTAACATCGAAAGGGGCGTCTCATCCTGGGCAGCACGGAGTTATCAACCGTTCTGGATCTCCAGGAATCACCCCTGGTAGGTGCAGCCGCTAAGCCTGTGGTGGGTTGTAATTACAGAAAAGGCTGTTTCAGCTGCAGTCTCTTAGGAGTAGCAATGACATTTGGGATTAGAGCTATCCTACGCTACTATGTAAATCTCGCGCAAGAGTAATGGCAGCATCAGCATGTGACGCAATGGCACCTTCAAAGTCTGTTTTAACCTGAGGCACCTTCCTTGTGCAGGAGAACGCCCAACACTCAGCTGTCCCGAGGATGGACGGTCCCCCACACTCCTCCCCTCCCCCTGGTGTGCAAGGGGTTTACAGTTTAGCCTCATTCAACAACCTCTGGTTAAAAATACGGACAGTGGGAGGCCAAAAATACCTGATCTCTGTCCCCAACCATGCGATCTCCCATAAGTTCTTAATCTCCTCAGGATTCTTAACCACGAGCAGGAAAAATCTCTCTACAGTGTCGCTAGTGGAGGTCACGTCACCTAAGTAATGAACGTGCTGCACGGGGTCAGGTCATCTCCCGCAGGTGCTCAATAGACAACGATGTCTTTCTCCTTCCCCGAGGGGCCCAACTTCTCTCCACAGGACGCAGAAGAGGATTTGGGGGGGAGGAGGGAAAATCAGGTTAACTCATTATAAATGTTGAAGAGTGGATAATCTACGAAACATCAAGTTCCCAGGCGACTGAGCGAGTGCCGTCGTTCAACGCCTGAAACAGGAGGAATCCTCTTAGCGCCGGATGTCAGCGGAGAAAAGGTCTGCAGAGCTCAGGGAAGGGCCCACCAGTGTCTCAAGTGCTCCCCGTGAAGTGACTCTCCACCCCAGTGATGACAGCGTCCAGTGTCCCTGCCACGAGGTTTCTGTGTGTCCTTTAGTGACACAGAGAGCAGCACACAGGGTGACTGCCTCCATGACATGGCATCGGTTCCTAGTTGCCCGTCTTAAGAAACCGGAGACGTGCTGCCATGTGGCTCCTGGTCAGTCACAGGCTCCGGACAGCCTGGACTCTATTCAGGGAAAGTCTGAGGTCCCCGTGTGAAGATGTTTCCCGGTAACAAAGTTCCCCCTTCCAGCCTCTGAATGGCCGCAGCTGCTGCGCAACAGGTGAGGGACCCCTCAGCCCTGAGGTGGGCCCAGGACCAGCACAGCAGCACCTCAGAGCCCATGAGAAACACAGCGCCTCAGGGCACCCCACGACCCCACTGGGTCATGACCTGCACCCCCAGAGACCTGACTCTGCTCTCCTGCTGGCTCCACATGTGGTGGTATGGGGGTGTCAGCCCAGACAAGTTTACAGTATGTCCCCCAAAGTACACGGAAATAAAACATAGACTAGGGAACAGAACAGAGCGCCCAGAAAAACCACGGGGGGTTTGGGGGGGTCAGTGCAACAGGAAGGCCCGGGAGCGGACACGGCGGGGGGGCGCTGTCAGTCAGGGGCGCCGGACACCCACGTGGTCACACTCAGGAGGGCCCGACCCCAGTTTCCTCCAGGCCCCACCCTGCCCCTCAGAGCTCCCGCAGCCCGCCCGCAGCCTGCGCCCCCAAATGCACGGCTCTGAGCCAGCACCACAGGGCGCCGTCCCCACCTCGTCTCGCTTTGGGGCGGCTCCTGGAGAAAC